GAGAAAATGCCTCTCAGGTGTCACTCAAAATAATTGTTAGTGTCTACTAACAGGGTAACATCCACCAGAAAGAATAAAACATCTCCAGAGCCATCCTTATTAAGCTAAACTTAACAAGAGTTTGCACCAGACAGCGGCTGTGGAAGTCACTAATGAAAGTCCCTCTGACCTGGAGACATGCCAGTCCATGGAGGATGAGTGGTTTATCTTCCATCTTTGGCATAAACTCTTTCATATTTCTCCTAACAGTGCTAACGGTTTTGTCATCTTCTCACTGTCATTGTTTTACTTCCTACTCTTACTTACCCTTTCTGTTCAAAAGTCTCAAAAGGGAAAAAAAAACTAAACTGAAACTAACTGAAACAAACAAGAACAAAAGTCTAATAAGGGGATACAACAACAAAGCATGGTCTCATTAATCCCTTGAGAGAAATAAATTAAAATTTCCTCATCAATAGACTAAAGTTTCTGTCGTGTTAATATTATAAATGGGGTAAATCTTTGGCAGAGGTGGTAAGGTACTCACAGTGCTAATCAATCAACTTAAAATTTAAACAGCTCTTCGTGTATGAAAGCTTCAGAGTAGACAATGGTTCTTGACATTTTCTGAGACCTCAGATGTTGATCAATAAATATTAACTCTAAGTTAGTTATCCTTGGGAAGAACTACTAACATTTGCTGAAATATACTTTAAATTTTCCTAGAAGGTCACGTTTGAGTCAACTTAAATTTTAAAAGTCTTTATGATGGCACATACTTAAATTAGCTCAATGGTAAGAGAGCCATGCTAATGAATGCAACTGGCCATCCTAACAGTACACAGGGCAAGAAGGTCCCGGAGAGGTAAAACAGATGAATACGTAAAATTCTATCACTATGTCAGTAAAAATAGTTCATGAGGCAGCAACATTTTCTTCACCTGTAACGTGCAGTTATTGATTTTTAGTGTAATATATACTTTTTCTTAGAAAGGTTTAATAAGAGTAGCATGACATTAGCCATAGGAGCGTTTATTTTCATTCTGAAGACAACTGAGTGAGCAACTGTTCAGGGAGAGGCACTGAACAGAGAATCCACTCTCACTAGAACAGATGTGACGACAGTGTACAAGGCTGTGTGTCTCTGGGACATAGGGTGCTTGTAACTGATCATCTTTACACTAGTTAGTACAGTTTTAGTTCCTGGCATGTACAAAACACACTAAAAACGTTAGCTGAAAGAATGTATAATGAATAAAAGACTGACAAGAACTCCCAGAAACTGCAGGAAATTATATTCATATTTTGGTAGCTTGTCTAGACCTTAACTCCATGGAAGCAGAAACTTCACTTGACTTTGCTCTATGTCCTACAATAGCACCTACCTTATTAACTTATTTGTGGAATAAATGAATATATAAATGAAAAATATTTCATAGTTAGAAAATTTAACATCACTTATTCAATTTTCAACTATCTTATAATGGTATACTTATTGGTATAAATATGTCTGTAAGATAGGATAATAATTCCACGAGTACGAACAAGTTTTCAATGACAAGGACACTTCTCTTTCTCATTTCCATGCTGCCAGGGTAGCAATATGCCCTAGCAAGTACTCAGTAAGTGGCTATGAAGGAAGAAAATCAAGAAAACAGTACGGCTAGGAAAAAATTCGTACTTTATTTTGTTTTTGCCTCTATTGGCAAGAGATATCAATACATTCTTGGTGGGAATGTAAACTAATGCGACCATTATGGATTATCAGTACGGAGAACCTAAATTAGAAGTTCCATATGATGCAGCTATCCCCCTTCTAGGTATCTTCCCCAAAGAGCTGAAAAATCATACTGCAATGATACTCGTACATCAATGCCTCTAACAACACAATTCATAAAAGCTAAATCCTAGAAGCAGCCTATATTCTCATCAACAGATGATTGGATAAAAGAAATATGATGTCTATAATTAATGAAATACTGCTGGGCTATAAAGAAGGACAAATTTGAGACATTTTTAGGAAAATGGATATACCTGTAAAACATAAAGTTGAGTGAAATAAATCAGACACACAAGTTTAAATAACGTACAGTATCCCTTATTGAGTAAGGAAAAGGATGAAGGAGCACAATAAAGGATGGGCAGAAGGAGACAAGGGGATCGATCTCTTACAGATAGAAGGGGTCCAGGAGGCTGAGGGTGACAGGAGATGGAGAGGGGAAGAGGAAGTAAGGCGATGCCATGTACAGGAGCCTAATTACTTAAATGAATGTAAACATTATATCATACCTGTGAGATAAGGGGGTTCAGAGGAGGGGAGAGGGAGAGGATCAAAAGAAGAACCATGCTATATTATACACATGTACCCATTCCCGAAGGTGACTGTAAACTGCATGTAGTGAAAGAATGTACAAAAAGAAGAAAAAAAGAAAAATTGGATTACAGGATACTTGAGAAGTTATACTGTTACTCTGACTCTTAAAATATTCTGTAAGCAAAATAATATCTCTAATAATTATTGAGGCTTTTCAAAACGCAGAAATTCAAATACAGAATCTTTATTTCATATCTGATTAAAATACACAGTAACTATGAAAACTACAATGAGTAGAAAATTTAGAATAGGATAAAATTTTAGAGCAAGTCATAACTTTTAAAATGGTTAATATGTAAACAATAAAAAATTTTTTTCTGTGGAAAGTAATTCAGATTAGAAACTAACAGAAAGATTTTTACCTCTGCTAATCAATAAATTAAAAATGAAATACACTTGCAAAATCTCTGAAACAAATTCAATGTGTGGGGCTAGGGATTTAGCTCAGTGGCACAGCGCCTGCCTGGCAAGCACAAGGTCATGAGTTCGATTCCCGGTACCAGAAAAAAACCAAAAAACAAAAAAAAAACCCAAATTCAATGTGTGTACATGTAAACAATAAAGTATATGATTAGATTAATAATCTATATAGTAATGTTTTTGACAGTTGGATTTAACATCATGATCTATTTAAATTTACCTGGCACAGTACTTTAGAGCTAATTAATCATTGCGAAGAACTATTTACAAGATAAAAGAACAACAATTCACAACAGTATTTTACAGCCTTTAAGTTTTCATGTTTTAATGATAAATAAACATGTGTTCCCTCAGTACCACATTAAAACACTTACTATGCATAGCATAAGTTAACAATTTTCTGTATGCTGATGAGAAAATGCTTCAAGATAGAATGGAGGTTACATGGAATTGGCTAAATGTCTTAGAATTCATTTAAAGATCAATTACATTTCACTTTTTGGATATGCATCTATGAAATAATCACCTCTACATCCCACAGAACAGAGGAATACATGGGACCCATCAGTTTCAGTTTTGGTCTATTTTCTGTACCACTTGTTGGCAAGTGGAAATAATTCTTTGACTACATTTCCACAATGCCTTTTGCAAATCCAGTCTACACCCACTTCAGGAAAGTTGAGGACCTACATCTAAAGATAGCCACATTTAAACTCTTACTCTTCAGGAAGAAGGTAGAGAAAAGTTAGGCGAATCAAAAGAAGGAGCTGAGGGCCTGATGATCATAGGCAGATGGTGCCAAGAGAGTAACACAAAGAAGTTTTGAAAATCTGACTGCTCCCCTGCTAGCTTCAAACAAAAACAAACAAAAGCAAAACAGTTGGATTTGGCTATGTCTATAGTGACCACTGAGTGATCTATTTGATCTGCTAATTCTTTTAATATTATCAGAATTCCACGTTTCTGAAATACATCTCATGGGGCAACATGGACACCCAATACAACTGGTTCTATCTATTATCAACTTATTTTTAGATTTTCAAAAGCCAATTTCTTCTCAAATTACCCTATTTCCATAGGTTGAACAATTCAATTGCCCCTTTTAAATAAAAAAACTTGCTGGTTCTACATACTGAAATTTAGTAACTAATAACTACTTCCCCATTCTATTGTTTTTTAACCCTAAATAGAGAATATGATACCTTTCAGCTTCACATTATCAACAATCTTACAACACATCCAACTCCATTTTCTAATTTATTAAGAAAAGTACTAAGCATTAAGATTTAGATTTATTGAAGTACTGTATTAAACACCTTAATTTGACAGAACACGCCTTGACTTTACTTGGCCAGTTTGTTGCTAATTTGAAACAAAAATTATGTAACCCAATATTCTCTACTTTTTTCCTTCTAAAAATTATAACATACTGTCTACAAAAAATAAATCCATATAACTCTTGAATGGATTCTTTGCAAATTACCACATCTAAAATAGAGAAAACAAAGAAACAAATAGGTAAGGAGATAAATGATAAATAAATAAGATAAAATAAAATAAAATAAAATAGAGATGAGAAATTCACTACAGGGCAGTTTATTATTTCCATGACCAGCTACCACATGTCTGTCCTTTGAGACTTAATTTCTAGTTCTTAAGAGATGTTAGAAATCTGCAATTAGATTCTACAATGGCATATAAACACATGCATACATGTGGGATTTTGAACAATCATACTAAATCTATGAGGACAATTAATGTTTGGCATAAAAATAATAAAAGCTTAATATTTTGCTTTCAAGTAGAAGAACTACCCTAACATGAGATGAATATACCTAACACGAATTTTTCTAACCATTCTTTTTAATATATAAAGCACTTTATAGACAATATTTCTTTTGTTTTTCTCTCTCCTTCTCTCTCATAAGGCCCAGATTATGGTTAATATCTCATGACACCAAAAGTAATACTGCAAAGGATATTAAAGCATTTTTCCAGCCACTTATTCTATAAAATATTAATTGCAAGCCTGTGCATGTACTGTATATACAGGGGATTAGGTAACTGAGCTCCTGCTCAGTTCTAAATCAATCAAAGATAACATGCAGAGCATCCATCATCATTCTGTCTTCCTTTAGCACATAACTTCGGCTGGAAGACTTTAAAAATATGTATTTAAGCACTCCAGGAGATATTACCAGCTACGGAAGATGAGAGCAACACTCACCTAGAAAGGACAGGTTTTTCTCCAGAAGCAAGTCTCTCAGCAAGATTTCATGCTCGTGTCCAATGGCACTGGGAAGTTTAGTTAAGGAAGGCAGCACAAGCAGCACGGCACCATCAGGAAAGTGCTAACACTGGGTCCACACCGAGATGAAATGGAGAACTGAGGAAAGTCCTACGACCTGCAGCCCACATGTCTGAGGAATTCAATTTCAACACACATTCCTCCTCCTCATTTAAACAATACAATGGACTTTTCTCTAATGCTTATATATTCTGCAAAGATTTAAAAATGGGTGTGATTTTAACTTGTTTTAAAAAGGGGAGACATTTTCAAACATCCGTTAACCTGTGCTAAAAATCTTTCAATTCAATTTAGTACACATTAATTAAGCAATTACCTTACAGTTAAGAATACTAACCTGACCTGCCCTAAAAGAATCTCCAGTCTTACAGAGCTCTGTAAATCTGTGAATTCACACTTGTCACTTACCCAGCGTTGAGCAGCTCCTCTATTCCACTTCCCATCTACTGCTGCTGGGCCTCTGTGACTTGAGAAGCCAAACAGCCGACTGACTTGAGAATATAGGGAATCCGCAGTGAAGGCATTTTATAGAAAACTAACCCCAGGTGAGAATGTGCATAAAGAGGCTGTCTAAGTCTTTTTACATATACGCAGATAAACAGATACACACATGAATAAAGAGTGTTTCAATGCTTCCTAGGTGGCAGGCACTGTATCAGCGATTTATGTATGTTATTTTATCCTTGCAATTATTATTAGCTTTATTTCACATGTGCGAAAACTGAGACTTAGGAACCTGCGCAAGGCCAGTTATACGTGGCAAAGCTGAGAATGAGAATAAGCCTGCCCATGACCTCTACAGAGCTTCTAAAAAAGCATTAAAATTACACAGTAGTTGATAACAGCCATATGAAGGCTCTGTGCTAAGTACTTTGAGAGATCATTTTATTTATTCTTTACAACAGCCACCTGACTAGACGCTATTAGTAGTCTCATATTTATAGTTAAGGAAAGTAAGGTTAAGAAAGGTAGAGCAACTTGAAGTCTCACAGCGGCTAAATAACGAAATGAGGGGCAGGACTTCAAAAAGGGATGCTTACCAAAGGGATGACATTGCACAAAGTCCAGGAAAAAAAGTAGTATCTTATTCTGGCACTTTAATTCAGCCGAAAGCATTTGGTAATAATTCTCTGAATCATTACCTTTACCCTTCGTTTCATTGAGAATGTCGATGTGGTTACATCATTCCCTGGCTTACCTGAGACTGATTTTGATTCTGTACATGTGAGTTCAACTTAAATAAAATTTTTACACCACTTACAAACATTTTTCTTCTAGAGAATTATCCTATCTTTTATTATTACATATCGGTGAACATAGTTTTAAATCCTGTAATTATAAGACGTAGTCATTTATGCCCTCCATCAAAACAAGTGGTAAGGCATCATTACTGCCTTTTTCTTTCTATTGTTTTTCTTCCTCTCCCCATGCACACAGCTGTGATTTAATTTACAGGTGGAAATAAAGTAAAAAAAACCTCAAATTTTTAAATCACAAAATTTCACACATTTTCAGAGTACAATGAAGACAATAGATTAATAACTCTCAATGGTATCTCATTACCAGGGGTATCCCACATTTTAGAACTAAATTATTTACTTCTATTGCACATAAATGTGCTCTCACTTTTATTGTTGTAAATTATTTACATCCAAAATGTTGAATCATGAAACTGAGGTTAGTGATGGCACAGAAATGAAAGCCACAGCACTTGAAGCTTCCTGAATCATTATCTTTCCTTGCGTCTCTGTGTAGACTTCTGTCTAATAGCTGTCTCCAGGACTCACACTTGGGCATGTTGAAGTGGCTGGTTTCTCACTTTTTTTCTCAATGAATATGAGCTGTGGTGGAAAAAGTGTGGATGACCATGGCTCTGAAGGAAAAAATATAGCAGATACTAAAAGCAAGAAAAAGTACACGGGCATGTAATCTTTGCTACTGTGTGATGTTCTCTTAGTAAATGACTAATTTACTTTACTGCACTTACACAAATGTCTATATGTAACTTTCATAATGGAGTAAAAAGATTTTACACTATTTGATTTACCAAATGTGTGCTTCCTTAGAAAATAGTATGATGTGCTGGGGCTAAGCAATATAAATGTTACCAAATTATCAGAATGCCTCATAAACGGCATTTTCTCACATGGAAAACCAATAACATATTTAGTGAGAAATAAAATAATTTTTGTTGATCAGTTGAGGAAACATCATTGTAAATGCATTTACATTATATGAAATTGGTACAACTTCAACACAACAATAAAATCCGTCTCTCTATAAACTTCTCTGCCTGTTTTATTTTGCATGGTAAAAGCAGTCACCAATTTGAGATTTTGGAAAGATACACCTTTCGATTATGCTTTGTTTGACACAAACTTACATCAAATGCAACATCTAGAAAATAAAGCATATAAAAACAATTTTACTGGCAATAGTCATAATGGAATTGTAAAAATTATAATCTAGTCAAAGAGTACAATTTATAGATGTATACCATTATCTTTTTCAATTGAAATCATATACTACATTAAATCCTACAGACAATAATAACACAGCCAAAAAAAAAACAACAGGCAAGTGAATGATGACAAAAATGTAAGGAAAATACTCCAAACGGAATTTATAATGTGCCATAAGCAGAAACACTTAGACTCTGTCTATAAGAATACCTCATTATTGATGTATGGCAGTGACCATGGGGCAAAACCTGTAAATAACCTCACAAGCCATTTTCTTCGCCAGCAATACAGCAATCTAGTTTCCCGTAAGCATCTCAACTATTACTGAAAAATAGCCTCCTGGCATTTACAGAGCAGTTGACTTCATACTTTAGTCCATGCATATATAATTAGATAGTTATATTTAAAATCAATATGCAATCCTTCAAAAGACATTATGCTTTTAAAACCTTAACTTTAAATTGATTTTTAACTATTTTATGTGCTTTAAAATTAACATGTAATTCAGCCTCAGATACTTGGAGATGGTGTTAGTTGTTATATGAACATGCTAAACTTTATCACTACAGAAACATGAAGTTGGCACTTCTACAATTTCTAAAGCTATCATTAATTTTATAGAGAGAGTAGAAAATCTGTTTTACTTTAGTTTAATAAAAAGGCAAGCTTGTGACAATACTGTGTTTTATTTTAGGCTAGGTAGGGGACTAGAACTAGAAATATATACAAAAAGGCTGTATCTTAGGTATTGAATGTTCTTGTAGGAAGGCTGTGTTAGATTATTTTTAAATCTATTTTTACTTAGGAAAGAAAATAAATTTTTATCAAAAATTTTACTTACACTAAGCCTTTATGAAACTAGGAAGAATATAAGCAAACACATATAAACAAACACGCACACACATGTGCAGACATCCATACACACATGTAACTTGTAAGAGCTTCCAACAACAATCCAGATCGGTAATCGCTGGGTCACAACTGGTCACAGCGCCAGCCGTGCTAACAAAACCTATCCCAGAGGCCATGTTTATACTGAGTCATGACAACCATGGACTAAGATATACAGTATATCCAGTAAAGTTACTAATAATTTACATAATATTTTAGTCAAGGGTTATCAAAATTTTCATTATTATTACAATACTAAATTTACTGATTAATAATGTCCTGCTTCACGAAGTGGTTACCACCCACCCAATCCTGTTTTAAGAAGTAAACTTTAACTCTTTAGTAATTTCAAAGTTTTTAATGAAGCATGACTGGGCATCTCTTTTCACAGCCTTAAGTCCAGTCCCAAAGGAAAAATTCGTGTGGTCTCTCTAAAAATGTTTATTAGGTATTTAAATGACAGCTCAGATTGTATTCAGCATTTAAGCAACAAAAATCCGCTGTCCTTTAAAATGTAATGGTCTCCGGTAGCATTATAATCACATCATCCTTTAACTCCAGGCTCAAAATTTATTCCAGGAGACTCAACTGAATTTGGCTCATTTTAAGTGGAACTCTGTTATAATTTCTTAAAATGTTCACTGGAATGGTTAGATACATTACAAGACAGTATGTTACCTGCCTAATAACTCTTTACCTTCAAACTCATTGAAAACCAAGCAGTTTGAAATAAGCATGTGAGTGTGCAACTGCTGAACTGACATCTTCCTGTGGCCTATCTGATTTTTAAGCTGTAGGAAAGAATAGTCTGCAGTGACCCTCCAGTTGATTGAATGTAAAATAGAAGAGTATGAAATGTGTTTTGTGAAGCAGAACTTTATGTCAGGTTAAAGCTAGACACATCTCCTCCACTGAGTCTAAGCTCGTCAATTGTGCACCTAAAATTTTATGGGAAAGGATACTGTTTGATGCAGTCCACCAATGGTCCATAACAGCAGTCGTTCACAATGCACTGAAGACAAATAAGAGAGGGTCTGAGATGGGGTGACTACAAAAATCATTACAGGAAACATCCTAAAAGCAGTAATTACTTTCTTCCCCCATCCCAAAAAAGAAAGCGATCAAAAGGTTGTTCAGATTTAATCACAGAAAACAAAAATTGCATGCTTTTTATTTACTATAAAAGCAAGCTATTAAAAAGTGAAATGCTCTTCTCACAAATATTGCATTGCCATTTATGGTGCACCCTGACCTCAGTGATAGTTTATGATGACAGTAATTAAATGAGGTTTAAAATCCTTTACTCTGCTAGGCAGATAACAGCACTGCCACTGAAAACAGACAGCTGTGATTAATACCTGATAGACCTGATTTGCTAGAACTCCATCTGGAATCTGGGAAGGGTCCCGTAGCATACTATTTATAACAGACTTGGAGGCTGTGGAAGAAAAGAGATGAACTATTAGCAGACAGTCAACATACTTTTAACGCAACATGAGAAGTGACATATACCTACATACACAGAAACCATGAAAACAAAAATATTACTGATACTAATCATTTTTCCATTTTTAATCTAAGAGAAGCTTTTAATTAGACCATGTTGCCAAGTTTATAAACCACACTGCCAGATTTGATGATGACCTATTTTTTCCAAGGTAAATTAACAAGTCCAGACCTAAAACATATGTCTTTTTGCAGATAAATTGGCTCTGGAAAAGCCCAATTGGAAAACAAAACAAAACAAAACAAAACACAACCAGCAAAGAAAAATGTTTACTTTTTGCAGGTAGGTATTTTATAACCATGCATATGTACACGTACAGCTTAGTTATAGCAGGTCAGATTTAAAGACACCAAGGACATCAACAAAAGTAACTCTCAACTATCTCTGCATACTGAGCCTTTCTAAAATGGAATGCATCAACTGCCATGAAATTTCACATCTATTTCACAGGTGAGAAAAGTAAGGAACACTGGCAAAATGAGGGGACCTTAAAGTTAAAAAAGTCTGTGTGTTTTGTGTTTGTGTGTGTGTGTGTGTAGCTGTCTCTTAGTATCTGGTATCCATCAGGGATTGGTTCCAGGAACCCCTTCCTCACCCCCCACAGAAACTAAATTCCATAGTTCAAGTCCCTTATATAAAACGGCATAGGACTTGCATATAAACTAGACACATCCTTCTATACGCTTTAAATAATTTCAAGGTAACTTACAATAACTAATACAATGTGAATGCTGCACAAATAGTTGTGATACTGTATTATTTAGGGCATATTAGCAAGGACAGTCTGGACAATCTGTACATGCTCAGTACAGATACTTTTTTGTTCCATATTTCAATCCATGCATTTAGACCCCAAGATAAGGAGGTCTCACTGTGTGTGTAAGGGGGGTAATATATGTATTTAATATGCACATAAATTTTCCACAGAAACTATGACTTGTCCACTTGCAAATTAAGCTGAAATCCCAGGGAGAGTTAGAGAAGAAAAAGGCAGTAAGGGAGACATCTAGTGAGGATGGTATAGAGGTGACAATCTTTGAGAAGCAAGGCAGGCAGTCCTGGACTCTATTTGTTCATCACAGGTATGTAGCAGCCCAGGGGGCAGAGTTCTTCTAGATGTGTGGCAGGGATGCAGGCCTGTAAACTGAAGCTGAGTCAGGAATTACCCAGGAATCGATTCTGTGCAAGTCCTCCAGTGGAATAATTTCCAAGTATTAGCAAAGTAGCTTAAAGTTGGGACTACACAAGTACAAACTCAAATACATATTGCATAATTTAGCTAAGAAAATGAACAGATTATGGATCTACATCATTCAAGTTATGAAACGATTTTTGATCTAACTTTTTTATTATTATGTTCTTTATCAAGTTTAGTGGTACAAGAACATTGACAGATTCGATAAATGTTAGCAAATACTGTGGAAAGAAGTAAGGCAATTATACATTACTTATGCACAGTATTGAGTCTATAAAAAATGTTCAACTATTTTAATTATTGCCTATAGTTGGTCACATGACTGTGTGAATATATAAAGTTATATATTTAACAGTTATTTGCAAACACAACGTTTACACTGCACATGGAGAAGGCATATGGAAATCCAAAGAAAGGACCACTGATCTTTCTTATCCACCCTGTCTCTTCAATCAGCTCTGCAGCCTGATGAAATTATCTCAGCTGACTCAAGGGTTCCTTACTACAGAGTCTAAATAACAGAATCAAATCAGACTTATGCATTTGCTGCATACAATCATAGGTGTAAATACAATTATTCCTGTAAGACATAATCATGGATAAGTGGTACAAATATTGAGAATATAAAGCAGCTAATCATTTTATCAAGGAGCAGATTAGGGCAGCAGTATTGTTAAAAGAGTTTCTCAGTATTGTTAAGTTAGTTTCTCAGCCTAATTCAAAGGCCTGGCCAGTGGCAGGGGATCAAAGCACTTGTCATGCATTTGGTCACCTTCTCTGAGCACATCTAAGGGTCTCACGGAAATAGAAGCACCGTGTCCGTTTGTATCTGGTCCTGGCTAAGGTATTACACTTCAAACTCTCATCCTTATGCGAGGAAAGATTAACCCAAAATGGTCCAGCAGCATGATCCAAAGTGCTATCCTACGGAAAATTACCAATCTCATGCCAAATCATATGCAAATTCATCACTAAAATCATTAAACAAAGACTTTTTTTTTAAAAAAAAAAAAAAAGAGCGACAATGCTCTGGGACATGAGAAAAGTGAGTCATTTATTTTGAGGGAAGAAAGGGAACTATCAAAAGAAGAATCTGATGACATAATTTTCCTCACAATATAAAGTTTAGAATAGTGTGCTTATCAAGATTAAGAATCATAACCAATAAATTTGTAAAACAAACACTTTGAATACTTTGAATAGAACACTATTCAAAACAAAGGAAGTCAGTTGTTTTAAGTGAAGTAGTAAAAACTACATATTGAGTCCACTTATTTTAAACTCAACAAAATGTCTTTTCTCCTCTTGCAATCTGCCAATTTTTACAGCAAGAGAGAAAGTGCTAACGAAAGTCAAGGGCTCTGATGCAGACCCAGCACATGCCATCTCCTCAGGTGGTACTTTCCACTCGGCCTTTGTGAAAGACTGCTAGTATCTCGCATCAAGCCACAGTGCACATCTACTTTTATTCATATGTTCTGAAGTTTAGGTATCTCCGAAGGATGATGCTGTTTTCACACTTTATTCCTGCCACTGTTTCTACTGACCATATTCTCATTTCCAAGCACGAACACAGCATGAATTGCCAATCAGTTGGAACTAGGTCCACAGAATAGGGCAGCACTATTATCCATGAACGATTGCAGACAGGCAACAGGCAATACCTGGACTATGATGCCTAAGGTTATGTTCATGTCATTGTAAAGATTTCCTGAAAAAAAAAAAACTATAATAAACATCTAAAGACCAACTAACATGATTTAACTTGCAGATCTGCAATAAATTTACTTCCAATGATCTAATATTAACTTGTATAAACTTTCTTTTTTATCAGTCTAGCTAGAGGTTGATTTCTTTTAATAGCGTTTTTCAAGAAGCCAAAATTTAGTATTGTTATTTTCTACTGTGCTATTTCTTCTAGTCACATTTCATTTATCTTTTCTCATCATTATTTTTGGCTGTTTACTTTGAGTTGCCAATATTAAATTTTTTTTACTGAGTTACTATTTTTATAATTTCAAGGGCTGGCACTGTATCTCAGTGGTAGAGCACACATGCCTGGCATGTGTGAGGTCCTGGGTTCAATCTCCTACACCAAAAATTTTACTTTCAATCTTTTAATATATACTGTTTATTTTGAGACAAGATCTCACTATGTAGTTCAGGATGGCTTTGAACTCACAGTGATCCTTCTGCCTCAGTGTTGGAAGTGCTGCGACTACAGATGTGCACCACCACACCTGACTAATACATATTTTTCAAGGCCATAGTAGTCTCAAAATTCTGTTTTAATTACATACTGTCTTTTATTTATAAATATCTTGTAGTTTCCATTATTTCATCTTTGGCCCACAAATTACTTAAAAATTTTAGATTTTTGCTATGTCTAACTTATGCAGTCTATATTAATACGGGACATTTGTTTGACTTCCTTTGTGTTTTTACTTGGTAAATCTGTAAAATATATTTTGTTTTTAAAAAAATTGAAATTCTGCTTTTTGAGATATAAAGTTCAGGTATGTTTAATAGGTTATGATTTTTAATTATATTGTTCAAATCGTTTATATTTTTATTGTTCTCAAAGTAGATATGAAATAACTCCTACTGCTCTGGATTTATCAGTGTCTATATTTCCACCAAGACTTGCTTTCTGTATCTGGAGGCTGTACTTCTAGGTGTACATACTCCCACTGTTACACACATTCTTCTTGGTAAGGATGCCTTTGCTAACAAGCCATGACTGTCTTTAATAAACTTTTTTCTTAGGTTAAATGTTGTAAATTGGTAATACTGCCACGCAATGTTTCTTTTCGGTAATGTCTACCTTGTATATCTGATAATCCATTTCCTTACCTATGAATTGATTGTGTCAGTATGTCTTAGTGTTGCTTGTAGAAACAACATTTAAGCAGCACTGTTTCTCTGCCATGAGAAATTGGAAGTGTAAATAAAGACCAAATATATGATGGATACTGTGAAATAGGAAGAAAATGTTCAAATGGGAAGAGGAACTAGGAATGGGAGAGGGGGAAAGGAAGGAAGGGAAAAGAAAAAACTGAGAAAACAGGGAAAAAATGGAAACAAAGGTTTTGTAAGTAAGGAGGGAAAGGGGGCTGAAGGGAGGGTAAGGGAATGGAAAAACAAGATTCAAGTTATATTACGTACACACACCAGTTCCCTATGATGAATGTGACCATTATGCATACTTAAAATGTACCAATAACCTTAATTAATTAAAAAAAAGTGGTTTTGCTCTCTTTGCTCTCTTATTTTCCAAGTTCTGCTAACCATTATTTTCTCTTCTTTCTCTCTTTCTACATTCTAGTTAATTTTTATTTATTGTTCTCCCTTTATTCTCTTGGGAATAATACACTGTACATCTACTTTTTACTAGTACTCTCAAAAAATATTTAAGCTGAATCAATATCTAATCTTCATCATTTTGTATGTAAGAGATTGGAAATCACTCACTCCCTCCAACATGAGCCCTTATTACTATGCCTATTGTTATTAACCATCTTGTTTGTAAACACCATTTCCCAATTAATCTGTGTAAGAGGTCAATTTTATATGTCAACTTGACTGGGCCAGCAGGGCAGAATATTTGGTAAAACATTACTCTGGACTTGTCTGTGTGGGTGTTTCTGAGTGAGATTAACATCTGAATTGGGGGCAGACAACACCCCCTAATCTAATTGGGCCTCATCCGATCAGCTGAATGCATAACAAGAGTGAA